TGCAAAATTCATTCCCCGCACCTGCGAGATAATCGATTAGATCTATGAGTAATAAGCTGCTCATAATGAACTCGCGAATAAAGCCTTTACCTGGCTGAGTCAGTCTCGTCACCCGACACTTTGTTGCAGCCAAAGATTGATTAGATCCATACGTAATAAGTGTTTCGAAAGATATCGCTTAAAAGACTACTTAAAAAACTGATTAATCTTAACTGATGACCTTTGAATAAAGAAAATAATCATTTTTTCAAAATATCTTCCTTATATACATCGATTATAAATTCGATAAATATTCGATCAATAATGTTAAACAAACTTTATTATTATTAACGATGATCATAATAAGTATGACTGATTGTATATGCGGATAAAAGCTCTCGACGAAGCCTCGAATGAATGATAAGATACATCCTGGTTTTAAGTGAGTGCAAGTACGTAATTTCAATAATGACAGGCAAACGTTCGCAACGTGAAAAACAGGATAAAGAGATACAGTAATACGAAGTGAAAAAGACGAGTGTATACATCCATTCGTAACTCTATTCTCATTATTAATATGATATAGATCTATAATTTTCACATTATATTCAACAGACTATGACGACGAGAGATTGCAATCGCACATATAATCGCAAACGTCATGTTGAAATGTAACGCACAAAATGCGTTAATTTAATTAACAATGTTAATTTAATTAATAAAACACAAGTTACATTTTGTTAAAATGATATATTTCGGAAAATATTAAGAAGTATAAGTTTCATAATTTCGGTTGCATCAGTAAGTTCATTAAATCTACGTTGCAATATTCATTACTCGTAGTCTTGCAATATCCTTTTACTTTACAGTTTAAAATAGAAGAAAACATATAAAGATATTTATATACTTGAATAATAATTAAAGCAAATTTAGCATCTTCATAATTTAGTATTCATATGCTTTTTTGAATAATATGTATCCTTATGTTTGAAGGTTTTCATCAAGGACGCGACGGGCCGTCGTTAATTAACTGTATTCAGGTGAGCAGCATCAATACCATGACCTAAATATTTCTTTAACGCTTATATAATACAAAAACAATTCTCCCACTGTGTTATAAATTTAAGAAGGTTTAAACAATTAATGTGTTCTGAAAATTTAATAAATCTGCTGAAAAATATTATACAGCATTTTTCATTGGATACTTCAACGAATAATCTAGTCAATAAAAAAATAAAAGGACAATAATAACATAAAAGTAATTCTAAAAGATTACTTGTTTAAAAGTATTTTATATAAAGATAGAATATATATATATATATATATAATATTAATATCGATTATATTTAATATTAACGTAAGCTATTTTATGTGCTTTGCAATCTCAGCATTACCTCGATTTCATCGCGTTTGCGATGAAAAAAAAAAAGTAATGCGCGATTGCAAAATATCAATTTGATTGCTACATAAATTATAAACCTATTGCATTGAACTTGCGGTCCAGCGACATCAATGCGATGCTCGTTTATCATTCAAGGAGAATCACTCGAAAAATGTAGACACTCCTATTAAATTTACATAATAAGACAACGTAGAAACCACGTGGCAAATCAGCTGTTAACACGCAATTCACTCGTCTACGTTCACTACGGGTAAACGAACCACTCGCTTCAGCATAGTCGAAAGTAGCTCAGCGGTTTCTGGAGCAAATCAGGTGCAACAAATGCGTCTTTTTTATATAATTTTTTTAGGACCGTTACACAGATTGCGAAATTGAAACGATTGCCAAGAATATAAACATTAAAAGTGTCTATCTGATTGTCATGTCACATCGACAGAAACACAATTCGCGTGTATCTAACTGTAGGAAACCAATTTAATTTATCTATCGTGTAAATCGCGTTAACGCAAGGACTACGTTTAGCGTTAAATGTAGCAAGAGTACGAGCCCAAATCCCATGGCTTGCGTAACGGATATTAAATACTCTTTCAAGAAGGAGCTATTAAATCATACGCGGTTAATTATACGCACTGATGCGCAAGTGAGGAGCGAATTCTCGTTCGAGTGAATGCGCTCTCGCATGCCGCGCCAGAAATCAAAACCCTAGCATTCACACGTGTTCGGCATATGCAATCGTTGAGCGATAAAGGAAGGAGATATCCCTTCGTAGTAATTGATCGCGATGAAAATCTGTGGCGCACAGCTTTTTGCATGAGTTTATAAATAAATCGCTCGGTGATCCTGTCTGGAGCATTTTATTAGTCTGACGCATAAGTGCGTGCAAACACGTTGTAGACAGACAGTCGCATGCTGCTTTCACCCGTCGAAGGTTGCTTTCGTAATTGAATGGAGACGCGCGTATTCACAGCATTTCTATTCGTTCCTTAATTTCTGTTTATGATCCTTCGATCCTTTTCTTAAACTTTCGCAGAATGAGTTTGACAAGCCGCTTACAACGAGTCCAATCCAATACAATACGTACCCCTGATCAGATTGCTCGGCAAAAAGTAACTCAGCGATAGACCGAAGGTTAATGTTTTCACGTCGCAAATATCGCGTATTAAAATTCTTTTGAGATCACAGCATTCGCAGCAAGTCATACGAATGACTAGGACAAACTTCTTCGGCTCCCTAAGTACAATGAGTCCAAGGCTGATATGCTGCAACCTAACTTTCTGTTGAAGCTGCCTGTCGTCTTCAGCCTGGCACTGATTGCTAAATATTTCGTGCCTCATTTCTCCTCCAACGCGCCGTGCACCTCGCCATAAAATATTATGTATTTTATGCATTCTTGTCGTTATTAAATAAAAGATATTATGTATAAAGATGTCTATAAAAGTGTATGCATCAGTATTTCTAAATGTCAAAATAAAATGGAATAATATTAAATAATTAAATAATTATCATTACGAAACTTTACTATCAATAATTTGCTTGAGATACATTTATTCATTTTTTTTTAATAAAGAGAGTGTTTCGACACAAATGAGAGGAGAAATATCGTTTTCTGTCAAATAAATTTTGATACTTAAGTAATATTTATATATAGGGTGATCAGTAAAAACCGCATAATCTCTCATGGACAATATACTGGACTAAATTGAGTCGAAAAGTCTTTTATCATTTTGCAATTTTTTTAATAGTTAACGAAATATTCATTTTTAAATATTGCGGATAAACTCGACGCATGAGAGAACTTTAAAATATTTTTCAAAGTTCTTTATAAAATATCTTATATGATCTTATGTTCCTTAAAGAACTCTTAAAAGTGTCTTAAAGTTGTCTTATGCGTCGACTTTAGACATTCTGCTCAATGGATAACTTAAAAAAAAAAAAGAAAGCGAAAATTACAAAATGACAGAAAACTTTCGACTCGTGTCAGTTTAATCCACTCTACCTGCCCACGAGAGATTATACGATCATTTTCGTTATAGAATTGTGCGTCGATTTGATCAGACTTGAAACACAATCACGAACGGAAATAATAATCTCGCAAACAAATTAATTAATTGTCGATAGAATAATCTAGCATCTTACGACATAAATTTACGAGATAAATTTAACGAAATAAATTATAATACTTTTCGTTTTATTAATCTAAATTTATAATTAATATGGGTGATACCCTCTTATTATACGATAGTGCCAACATATAGACAGTCATCATTTTAAATTATAATTTACTGGGTGAAGTTCTTCAAACATTACAATTTCTCAATTTATCTCTATTAAATCCTCATTAATTCTGGAACGGAAAGTTATAACTAATTGTAAGTATAATACAATATTTTAAGTATAATGATTTACATTGTCATTATCTCGTAAACCTATTTTCTATAAATAATACCTTTAGATACGCAAGTAGAACTTTGAACGATATTTTTATTTGTTAATATATTACGTCTAAATTTTACATTATAAATACATTTTAGAGAGGTCATCCATTATGATTTTCATTAGATTTAGGTGATTTGCGATTGCATAATTACAAATATATCCTATTGGTTGGACGATGAAATAAACGAAGCGCATTGAATCACGATTAGCGCAACTAATTCGGATAGAATTTCGATTGATTCCACAGAATGTGATACCAGCATTCGGAGAACGATGTTAAATAACGGCATTCAGTAATATTAGAGGCAGCGAGTGCATACATATACATATTTATACTTATTTTTGATGATAAATTCTTTTTCTGAAAGGAGACCTGGTTTATTATTCCAGTTCGCGATAGATCAGTTTCTTAATCACCAGTTGGCGACCGATCACGATTTATGTTAAATTATAAATATTTTACAATGTTAATAAAATGTCGTAAAGAACGTTTGTCCTAAATACTATGCCTTTTGTGGTGCTTAACCAATATCATAAAATCTGATCACCACCTACCGGTACTTTTCAATTACACAACTGTGGTAAGAAACCTTGAAACGAGTCAACCTTTTTTAATCAAGTCAAAAAATTCCTCACTCTTTAGCTGCTTTAGCATAAAATTTGAAAGCAATTAAAATGACAAAACTGTACCAATGTTCTTTTTTTAACTTAGATCTACATTTGTATTTGTTCCAATTGGCCTAAAATCTCGTGGAGCAAATGAAGATACCGAGCATAAATTGAACTGATATGGTTTTAAAAGGTTTCAACATTATCGAGAGCTACGATATGAGAAGAAGGTACAAACTGTAATTCTCTCTTTCACAGAACAAAGAACATTCTAACATATACATATAAGAATTATTTATCTCTCGCGATTGTTAAATAGATAGCTACATTACGTTAACATTATTGATGATTGTGTCAGCATCGACCTCTCATCATCATACAAAAAAAGATATTAATTCTATGTAACTGCATATTTTTAATCGATTATCTCATTCCTTAATTTTCATCAGAGATTTTGAACAAAGTCATTATTGTAATTTAATTCATTATTGATATTAATAAATTCACTTCAAATGAAAAATGTGCGAGTACAATTAATCTTAAAAATTATTTAAATCATAGAATATAATCTTACCTAAATACTTTAAGGTTTCCCCATCTTCGATACTTCAGCTTGGCTATCCAGAAGAGCAGTTAAATGTCATACAATATAATTCGGAGCATTAATAATCATCGTTATATTAATTCTTCAAGTAGACGACAAATCGAACGGCTTCTCCTCACGACACTTGTAAACATCTAAAGAAAGCGGTCACCCAATTTCGAAATTGCCAATACACGCAACGCAATCTCTCAAATCCTTCTGTATGATTGATTCTGGATCATCAAACTACCCAGCTACCATGTTACATTACTCACACACAGCCGATCATCGCGTACGATCGTACACCGATCGATCTATGCCGGAACGAAATCTCGTCGGCGATCTTTTGTGGCTGCATCCATCTCTCGAACCTGTCGGCTGTCGGTCGATCGATAACGAACCGGGCACCGTGTTTCCGTCCGTATTTTCCTCCCCGTTACCCACCTCGATGTCCGATACTCGTCCTCCCTTTTTCGCGGGGGATGCTGAGAATTTGATTGCGGTGAATCGCGATTCGATCGATCGACCGATCGATTGGCGGATAACGAAACTGTGTCCGTCCTGAGTTTTGCGCGGGCACGTGTGCACGCCTCGTCGAGGGGAGGGTTTTCCCGGTCAACGAGGTGGGGGACACTTGGGCGATTCCGCCGATCCTGAGCGATCGATCGATCTCAAGCGCGATCGACTCTGTCGACTGTGCCGGGTCCCGATCTGACCGTGGGCACCGAACGTCTACGACTGCGGCTGAAATCTTGAATCCATTCGCGGCGAGCGAGCGACCGCGAGAGAGCGTACAACATACGCGAGCACGGCTTATTGCACTAGTACGATACGTGCGTATCGTATGCGTGTACGGGCAAATCGGCAGGAGAGGGGCGATATTTTGTTTCGCTACGAGTGACAGATAAAAAGATCCCCGTTTCCTGCGGATCTTCCGCGGAGGACCGGATGCCGACCGATTATTTTTCAAGATTTCGTTAATATCCACATTATAATAATTTATACGCGGAATTGGACGTGAATCAGAGTGAAAATAAATGGGGTACCGTAATGGATATCATTTCTTGAATATTTATTTATTTACTTGTCTTAACATTTGCATATCTCTTTGTTATATCTTTCATCAGAAGGGATTCATAATATATTCTTCAGTAACATTATGCGAGAATATGTTGGAAACTACATGTGTTTCATAATGTCTTACTCCAATCTCTTTGTGCGTAGACCATTTCGGACGACCTTCGCTGAACAAGTAGGAGAACGATGTCAATTATACCCTGTACGCTCATACGAGAGAAGGCGCCGTTCTTGGATCTGATTTACATGTCATTTTCCATTTTCGCTTAAGTATAGCTCAGCTGTGTCTGTTATCTTCATCTGAAAAGACTGCACTTAAACGTATGTAAACGGCAGCTTGCAAATCCATGAATGCAAAGCAGTGTCACAATAAAATGCTAATTTTCCCTTGAAATGAAAAATATCATAAGGAAGATGAAAAATTATAGCGAAGAAATGATAAAAAAGTGTACCGTTAAATAAAACCGACAAGTAAGACATAATATCCGCTTCACTAATGCACGCGAATATTCAGTTACCTGTAATTCTGAATTAATTAATTCTTCGACGCGGCATGAATTAATAAGTAGCGTAATAATAATAGTTTCACTCGAATTAGTCGACATTTCGCAAAATATGTTCAATAGTTTCGTAATTTTCGAAACGTGCTGCACGTTTCATTACCTATACTAACTTCCTTCTTATGATAATGCCTCTTCCTGCCGTTCCTTAACAATAAAGCTTAATTTGCGCCACCTCTAGCGTCCGTTTCCGTTCTCACGTTCATTCGCCAGCAAATAGATTCAATTGTCTTTTCTCCCTAACACCTTCGCTAGCGATCTTCTCTTAGCGCGATCAGGCGGAAGGGAATTTTGAAAAGTTCACAGAAGAGCGAGATATTTACGACCGTCTTCACAAGCAAAGTATTTATTTCGCGTCTGGTTATTACGTGTTACGTGAAGTGTTATATGATCACGAATACTGCCGGTGAAAGGCATTTAAATTTAGCCCACGCCAAAGTGCCGTGCAGGATGCGCAATTGTGTCAATGTTTTCGTTGTCAATGTATGTCACAGGATGAGTCTTCAGGACGCTCTCACTGCAGCATATTTGCTCGATTGCATTCTACGAATTTAGTCCAAGTTCGTTTCTCCTACTCGTGAATACAACTCGGATAGGACAGATAACTGTGTATCATTATATTGCGATGATAATCTACAATCTGAGCAATCTTCTTAACGTTACTTCGTGTTAGGTACAGGAAATGCAACACAAATATAAAAGCTCAATTAAGCTCATCCAGACTATCGCAAACGAACAGATTGCGATAAATATGACAGAAAAAGCTGCTCCTTAAAGATGAACATTTTCCCGCATTTTCCCTCCTAGGAAGAATATAGTATATGTGACCATCAAGAAAGGAGTTGATATCTCCAAAGTTAATAACATAACGCGCGACTCTGTCCTTAATACCGCATGATCTTCAACTCAAATTGCAGTCGCCACTATTTTCTGTCTTAACACATAATCTGTACCGCAAAAGCCGCGTTTACCGCAGCGTGTTCCTTGTTCCAGCGATTCTTTACACTTCTTACTGTCTCTTTGCAAGAGCATCTCGATAGGTAGACCGGCTTGATTACCAGCTCAAGACGTTCGCTGGCCATTACGAGAGAAATGACCAAGTAAGGGTGAAGGTCGCGAATATCAAGTTCCAAACGCGTACATGTCTTGTTGTGTGCATTTGTGTGTGTGTGTGTGTGTGTGTTGTGTGCGCACCTGTACCTTACTCAAGATCTCGAGCAAGACGTAAGGCCTTGTAATAATGTGGGAACAGTTCATCGCACTTATGAAACATCATTAGAATTTTAGATTAGAATTAACCTTGTTGAAGAAAATAATTCCATTAAAGCTCATCATAATTTATTTGTCATTAATAACGAGAAAGGATTATAGGCGATTGAAAAACTTTTCACGATATTAGCTTGAAAAATATATGTGTATACAGACGATAGAAACTTAATTATACATTTAATTCAATTCTAATTTACTCAAAATTTTTAATTTATATGTTAGCTGCAAGATATTATAAATTAAATATTAAATATTAAAAATAGTTGAGATGAATGACGAATTAAAATATTTATAATCTAAAAAATCGTCTTAATCTTTTGTATTAGAGTGATTATCGTTTTTATTCTTGAATATTTCGCGTTAAAAACTGCAATAAACCATTATACTTGGCTTTCTTGCATCCGCACGAGATAAGTGCGCGTAAGATTTCGCAGCTGCGACCGCTGCAAAACGATGCGGTAATTACCAGGCACAATGGCGAGAAAATGAGGGATCATGTATAACGGGCTGGACGGGAAGAGCGCATTCTGCGTGAAATTCTATTCTTTGCGGCGTATCTTTACATCCTAAGCCACCAAAGAAGCGCACGGAACCGATAAAATTGTGTAATTGTATCCCTCGGGTAACAATTTTCGAGGACTTTGCCTTCACGGAAAATATTTTCAACATAATTAGCGGCTATTACCGAACTGATTACTATTTCAGTATCTTTTCCTCACGTATTATAGTAAAAAAATTCTTTAAAGCTTAAACGTTTAAGATAATTGCAGTATATATTATTAACAGATTGGATGAACAGGCATAAAGTATTATAATTCGTTAAGATATAATTATAAGATAAGATATAATTATAACATAATCGATTAAATTAATCAATTTAAATATTTAGTTAGATTAATCCTTTTGCTATTAATCTTCACAATTTAATAATTTAGATTATGAGATTGCTAATTCCGTACAAACATCATGGTATAAGAACATCAAGTGCACCAATTTACCAAATTATGGGGAAGCCTGATGGAACCGGTTGTACAGGTGAGATTGTGTGCAGCCTTGAAAACTTCTTGGCTGTTATCATAAATGTAGTATCTGACATTATGTGCTGGTCTACCTCCTTCGATATCCATGACGGCATGCTGTTATTACAAACAGAAGCCTTTCGTAATGAATCGTAAGTTTATGTTCGATTAGATGTGTTTCCGAGATATATAATGACATCAACATCACGTCTAAGAAATGTTCTCAAGTAAAATATTATAAATAATAGAATAATCAATTTCACAAAATAATGCTTCATATGTTTGTCAATACCATGCTAATCCACGGTTTCTTTTTCACAAAGCCGTGTAGGAACTTGTGTGACGCTATATGCAAATTTATTAATTTATTAATTTATAGTTTACTTTTTGTTTAATATATTAATTTGCTGTTTCAATTGTGAAATAATAAAAATATTCATAATTCAAGACGGGGTAAAAATAATACAATTTAAAAAATTCTAAGAATTATTAATCTTTAAGATTTATTTTAAAAATATTAATTATATATATATAAATTGGAGATTTCATTTATCGGCGACTGTAATCTCTAGCTGCATCAATGACTCTTCTTCTCTTCTTCTCTTGCTGCGTATTCAGATCTAGAGATCCTCTCTTTATCAGCGAGCGGTTAAAAGCTGGGGACTCTGAGAACCTGTTCTCATCTCGGACAGTTATCTGCTGAGCTGCATTCTTCTCCATGCACCACATGCAGGAAATATCAGTATTCATATTGTCCGCATTTGATATTTACGTAAAATTTATTGTTTATTCTAACGCAACGTCAATCAATATTTTTAAACAAATTTTTCTTTGTTCCAAAATTTATAAAATGAATTTGCACAAATTTCAAATTATACCATTATATATAGTAACAGTTATATTATTATATATTTTATACCTACAAATTATTATATATAATAATATTCATTACACAAAAATTAAGTGTGCAAAATGACAGGAAGATCAATCTCTGGAAAGTCTCCAACCCCTAAAATCATACAACCGTGACCAACCCTCATGAATAAAAATTCGGTCTTCGCATAATAAAGAGATTCTCGCGGCTCGGCCACTTGAGTTCGACAAGGAGGGTTCACGGTGTATCCAACGCGAAACACGAAAGTCATCCATATAAAACATGTACACGCACGATGATCGACTCTATACGCTCATCATAACGCAATGCGTCAACATGCGAACATAGGCGTCTAAATGAACCCCTTTCATAATATTATTACAGAAACTCTTAAGTTAAGTAAAAGTTAAATTAGTATTTTAATGCATTATAAAATATATTATACGTATTGACAAGTGTTGAGCGTAATTCGATAACAATTTTCTAAAATTAAGAACTAGAAGTAAATAAGATAGTAATTTGCTCTTGATATATATTCATTCTTGCAAACATGTTGCTAAAAAATTTTTTAATTCTTAAAAAATTAGAAAAAAATTTCACTTCGGCATTTACATTCATACATAAGTACAGAATAGAGCCGCGAATGCAGTTAACGTCACAATGTATCTAATGTAACGTTTGCCCCCCGTTGCGAACGCCCATGGATGATCGAAGATCTCATCCCCCGGAAATACAGAGAAAGAGAAAGAAAAACGAAGGCGGAACAGCGCGCTGCTCCAGCTGGCCGTGTCGAATCTTCTTGGCGGCGAGGGCCACGATAGAACTGTTTCAACCCCCTCGCTTTTATCGCGGCGCAGTCCATCATCATCGCCGACGACTTGTCAACCTCATTATGCTCACCGCGTCCCTGGTGATCGTTATTAGCCGGCGCAAGTGCGGACTGCAGGCTCTGCGATGCAAACCGGAGGCGACGTAACGCAATTCACCCCGTGTACGCATGACGTGACGGGG